TCTTGTCATTCACATTTACACACCTAATAGTGCTAATATTGTGTAGCGCTTGTGGCACCCTTGAAAGGATCTCATAGCACCCCAAAAAAAGTCAAAATCCAAAGGTCAACACTCTTTTGCCTTAACTTCAAGAGAGCAAGATGGGAGATTCCAGAAATTACTTCAGCACTAAAATGCGGCTACTTCTTAGGAGGAAGACAACCAATTAATAACATATAGCAGGACAACATCAGTTCAGGAACAAGAGGATTTTACGGTTTTCAAAATTTCCCTGATGAGTTGGCACATACAAGTAAGCAGCACTGCGTGTCCAGAGGCAAAAAGTGACAACAACCACTCTTAGTAAAATGTGAAAAGGAAAAAAACTAATTGAGTGTGAAAAAAAATAATCTAGGTTAAAATGTTAGATGAATTAGGACTGGGGAGGAGGTGGCATGGGGAAAGGAATATAAAAGGCTTTTCATTTCTCCTTTTTCAAATACAATACGCATTAGATTCCTCTCTGCTTCAAGAGTGAAACTAACTGGTGACTGTGAACAAACAATACCCTTTGAAAGGGTATCTAGTAATTCGCCTCTACTGCCACTAGAGGACAGACAACATTGCATCAGTTTGGATATAACGGAAGAGTGACAGCTCTGACAAGATCACAACTTCATGTATTGTAAAGTATTAATACCATCGTTAAAGGTGTGACGTATAAACAGCAAGTAAAATAAGTAAACCACAGAGTACAGGGCAGTGTTTATCTAGGGGTGCACACCCATAAAAATGCAATATAGTAAACACTTATCTTATTAAAAAGTTAGTTATGATAACACAACGCTATACAGTCATGGTCCAGACCAGAAGTAGGCAACCCCCACCACATGTGCCAGAGCATGGCACGCAAAGGCATTTTGCTTGGCACGCACACCTCAGGGTAGATGGCAGGGAAGGGGCCGGGGCTGCACTGTCACAAGGAGGATCAGGCCCTTCGCAGCTCCCTCGCTGTCCATCCTTGGCATGCTAACATCTTCCAAGTCAAGGTCGCAGGTGTTTTTGGCACTCTGCCCAAAAACACTGCCAATCCTGGCCCAGCCCACTAGTTAATCAAACACACCCAAGGGGCAGAATACTACTTTCAGCAGACGTGTCTGTGCTCCTAAAACAGTTATTAAAATCCACTACTTTAGCCCCATTAAACAGCTGAAGGTAGCATTTTCAAAGATGTTCACTGCTCACCAGTCTCTACCCCCACTACTGCTGAATAAATCTGAAAGATCTCACTGTTGGGATTTACTAACAGTTCCCCCTCCTTGATTAAATCTCTGTGATAAGAACTGGACCTAAATTCCAAGTCTAGTGTATATTTATTCAGAGTGCCTGTAGTAGTAAAGCCAGGCATCGGAAAAAGGGAGCAGAGGCACGATCACCTATGACTTTTGTGTGGAAAAAAATTACAACGTTCTCCATATTTGACAGTTCGAAGGCAGCACAAAGCAGATTCGCAGCTGATGCAAGTGAGTTTAGTTCAAGTCACCAGAGAAACACCAGATGGCACTAGGTAAAAAAAAAATCTCACCCAAAGTGAACAAACAGCCACTTAAATGAAGCACAATTAGCACTCTGCTCTTGAGTTTCTTCTCTCCTGGAGAAGCTTTCCCTTATCTCCATGCTGCTGACACATCTTGGTGAAATCCAGGGCAGCTACCTTGAAATTATGAACATTTGTACGCGCACTTTTTTCCAGCGACGCACCAGAGATCCGCCGTTTCAGAGCAGACTCAGTTAATCGAGTCTGCCCTGCACACAAGGTGAGGCGAACTGCACTGAGCCGTGTGCAGTTGTATAAGCGGCGAAATGCATGTCAGTGCGCGGTGGTGTATTTTTGAACTAAAGCACCTCCGAGGTGTTTTAGTTTAAAAAGCGCACTGCTGCCATTTTCTCAGTGCTGACGCACATTTTGCCACTTACACAACTGCACACATTGTAGTGCTCGGTGCTTTTCAAAGTGCCCAGCTCTGCAATGCATACATATGTAAAAACGTCCATAGGTTTTGTGACTTAACAGATTTCCTAACAATATTTTATGACATTTCTCTTGGATTTGATATTTCGTGAAAAAAAGGAACAGAAAAAACATTTGATATCCGCAAATAGACTTGAGCGTAGAAGCTGCACTCTCAAGAGAAACGGCTCTTTCATTCTGTTAGAGAATGCCTCAATTATTCTATTAAACAGTAGACAGTCTCTTTTGGAAAGCATAAAAAAAATGATGTCAGTTTTGGAACAACACTACAATAAAGACTAGTTTAGTAATAGATGAAACTCATCTTACATATTTTTAGTTACAGTCTGTTGCACACAATCTATAGACCATGCTCGAATGGTTGAAACTGATTCTACAGAAATAATACATGCAAATTCTAAGTTCCCACTGCAACTTTACCCACTAATTGCACAAATATACTCTCACTTACCCCAAGTCAGTCACTCAACAATTTAAGCCAATACAACAATTTCATGCTGGACAAAGTCAACACACAGGTTAGCTCCCACTGACCCATGGGAAGTCCCTACCACTTAACTCCCTATATTTTGTTTGTTCATCCCTTGCCAGTATACACATAACATTCAGTTTTTTCCATGTCTAAAAGGATTTGCAATATCTGTTATTCCTAGAAATCATCTCATGAAAACAGTTCCCATGTATCCTTCTGCCAGGGGATGCAACACTGACTATATACACACAAGTGAAACTTCATTATACATGTGGACTGAAATGGAGTCTTCAAAATTACTAGCATGAATGGTGAAGATTAGTTTTTAAGATTTGTTTTTCTGCTCTGTGTTATAGCATGTAATGGCACAAGTCATCAAAACAACTGGCACTTCTCTTCAAAAGCCAACAGGTTTTCAGAATCATTACAAAAAAATTGGCCCACTTAAGTGGTTTAGTAACATTTTAGAGTCACTGTCAGGATGCATCCTGTGACCCCTCAATGCGCAGTTACCTTCTCCAGATACACTGGAGTCCCAATTCCAACACACTTCTATTACCCCGTGAGTAGAGTTCAGAAATTCTACAGCAGGTACATGGCTCCAGTGCCCGAGGAAGGAGAATCCCCTCAATATGGTTTTAGTGCAGAGGGACACCATAGTCTGGAAGAGCTGCTCAAAACTTTTCCCTCACTCATCTTCCAAGTTTCAGGAGGCAATTCAAAACCAAGCAGGTAGTAGATCTTTTCATTCCATATTAATTAAGGATAGCCTGTCCTGTGAGAGAAATCTATAAGCACAACAACTACCATTACATTCAGTTAATTATTTGAGGTGCCAATCAGTTTAAGTTTTTTGCCCACACAGAAGAATTGACGCATGTATTACAAATTCAGTCTGACTGTTTAAAATGAAACCCATTAAAGAAATACACTTAGGAAAAGTTACAAAATGCAATGCAGAATTAACCATTTTGGTGTCAGAATTATTCCTTTTAATCCTTGTCATCTAGGATTTAATAGAAGGCTTTAGTCTAGTATAAACTGCTACTTTCATCCAGAGACACTATTCTAATTACCACTATAGGGGGGTTATATGTTGGGACACACTGAAATCACAATTTCGCAATTTTCACAGAAACTGTGAAATTGGTAGGTCCCCCGTGAAAAAGCCTGGCCCCAAAGAAAAACTGCAAAAATGGCCAGCGAAAAAAGTGGAAGAAAAAGGGAGCTGCAAACAGAAAACAGTGGGAAGCCCTGGCGTCCTGAAACACAGGGGGAGGCAAGGGAGATTTTCACATCAGAGTGCAACATTGGCTGGGGGGCCCTAGAAGTTCCACTCCTACCCAAAAACTGTCAGATGGCCATTTGGCCCTGAAAGTCATGCCCCTTTCCCACAGATTGACAGATGGTCAGAGGCATGGGGGAGGCCCACACCACACTCCCCTGCGAAAATGGAGTCCGATACTGCACTGGTACTGTGAAATCACATGGCATCCACCCCGAATTACATTGGTTCCTAGTTACATGCTGAAGAACTACATCTCTTGATTTCAGTTGGGGTTTGCTGCACAGAGACAGGGCAGCATATGACTTAATTTAACAGTTTCTTGGAAGCTAAGAAGAATTCTAAGAAGAACACCTGAAAAAAAGAAATCATTAACAGGCCTAATTTGGGTTACCACAACTGCAACTTCAGTCAGTATCACCTCTCTCTTCCTTTAGAAAAGAAATTCCTATAAAGGATAATCTGTATTTGTTAAGCAATAGCCAGGATCAGAGTTCAACCTTTAACATTTGTTTCCTTTGGTTGGCTGAATACACTGATCTGGAGTGTTAAATATAATGTTTAAAATACACTTTCTTCAAATCAAGTCATTTTTAAAGACCAGCATATTTTCAGCTGTTCGAATGTTTTATTTAAAAAATCCAAAAATTCCACAAAAACAAAAAGAACTCCCAAGAAAAGTCAATAGATGCTGTCAACATTACTATTTTTGCAGAGGTTTCTGTATTTCAGACCAGATTCAGTGCTACATCCACTCTTGTGGGTGCCAGACATGTCAAATGGGACACTGGAGACTGACATTTTTAGGAGTGGCATTTAGGCTCAAATGCAAGAAAGCTTTCAAATGCATGTATAACTTTAAACAATCTCAAAACACATTCCTGAATTTAATCGCCTCTCTCCACTAAGGCACAGAAAGTTCCAATGCATTAAGTGCTGCAAGGTGAGGGTCACAAAATAAAGGATGGTCCAGTGGTTACGGTTCTAGGAAGACTTAGGTTTAATTCCTTGTTTGACCACAGATTCCTGTCCACAGTATTACAACAAACCTTGATGTGTATTAAAAGACAAAACAAAAAAAAACAGTGTGGTAGCAACCATATGGTGGAATAACCTAACAACAGCATAACTGTCCAAACACATTGTGGCCAGTCAGCAATAATTTTTCTGTCAAGACTTTCCACTGCAATTACAAAAAAAAAAAAAGTGCATTTAAATAAGACGCTACTTACTTGGTTCTAATTTCTTCAGATCCTCCAGTTTAAATTCCTCCTGTGACTGTGTAGACTAGGACATCATAAAGAAAGACAGCATTAGATTTTGGTATGCATCCTTAACTATTACAGCCATCTCAGAAAGTGCATGCAAAGCAAGTCCCATCTTTATTTAGTCATATCAAGCTGTTTCAAAGGGAATCCTTAGAGCTTTTTATTTTCCCTTCAAGACAAAGTTTTAATTCATATACAAGACAAGAAGGTACGACATCTAATCTCTGGTAATCTAATTAATATCAGGATCATTTTAATGAACCTGAACACCGTAAGTTTGTCTTGTAGTCTGAGCTCTGAAATGAGATAAATATTTTCTGAGTATTAAAACTTATAACTAGACTGAGCATACAAGCCATCATGAGCAACAGCATTGAGACAACAATGGAAGTTGTTCCGAAGCCAAGATCATCCCCAATATTAAAAATGACAGGGGGTGATCCTGCATAGCAGGGCTGTTCAACTGGCTGCATGCACTCACAATCTGTGGTCCCCGGGTTCCTACCTAGTCACTGTTCTCCCCATTGTTCTTGGATCCTTCTCCTACCTCTGGCTTCTACTTCCTGCCCCAGTCCAGGGGGAAGTGCAGCACAGCCTGCAGTACCATGGAAGTCCATGGCTTAGGAGGATGAGGCTGGAATGCCCTTGCACTAGTGCATAGGGCAGCACCTGTGGCTTACGCGAAGCATGACCCCTGCTGGTGCAGCTTGCAAGGCATACAGCCCTTGGCCACTTAGAAATTGGACAGCCCTGCTGCATAGTATGGTGAACACCTTAGCATCCAAGTAAAGTCAGCCTGAATTAGCACTCAATACCTTGCAAGATGAAGGCCACAAAATGCAAAGTCATCCACTGGTCTTAAGGCTTCTTTAAAAATTAAATGGGACCTAGCTTTGAGATTTCTCTGGGCCCCTCCCAAGTGTCAGCAAGGCCTGAGAGTATCACAGGTAAGAGTAAGACTCTGATGGATTGGGATTAGAAGACTATGCAAAAGTTATTTTGGCCCCAGATACATTACATAGCAAGTATAACTGCAGCATGCACGTGGTTTCCAAAACTGAGGTGGATTTAAAATAAATAAATAAATTAAAAAAACAAAAAACAAAACTCATGATCCTGACAGAAGAATAAGGTAGAAATGCATTGTCACAATCAGCATTAAAAGTAGCCCCCTAATCAGTCACTGTCATTTCAGTGTACTACATTTTAACCTGTATTCACAT